GGGGGTGTATTAGGGTCGGGGCTTGGGTGGTATATTCAAGGTCAAAACCAAAGAACTTAACACTGAACAGCAACAATGTCAGAATAGACGAGTTTATTGACCCTGGGCTGCAACAATTTACAGGACAAACAACACATAAGAATGGAGAGAGAAATATACAAAACACAGAATTATTTCCGCGGGCGTCACTCGATTTGTTGAAAAAACAGACATGTCTCGGAAAAAAAAATAGCACAGGATTTACATATCGATTTCTTTCTTCTAGATATAAATACAATTGTACAGTTCATATTTAATGTGCAACATTTTAAAAACACTATTCCACTGTCTAACTGCTTGAGGTTGCGAACATTTTTAATTTCGAAAAACCCTTTTGCCTTCGTGCTAATTTTATTAACTTTACATCGGACTGAAGAGTAAAAATGTCAGAAAGTACGCCAGATTCATGGACAGTTTCATTGTGTGGCATAAAATCGTTAGTTAATGAACGTAGCGTAAGATCCCTTCTCTAGAGACCGCAATCGTTTTGGTCGGCACCAACACTCGTGACCTCTGGCCATCATCTAGTATTCTTGAAATGTATCTGGCTGATACACCAAAGAGAAAAAACATGAGAAAACAAAGTTCGAAAAATTAGCTCCGGCCAAAGGTCGCTATTCTTGGTCCTGAGCAAAAAGATCGCGGACTCTGGACAAGAATGTGAAATTGCTTCATGCAAAATTTACAAAGTATCAAATTCTGTTTGTTAGTAGCTCCACAACTTCATTGAATTTTTGATAGTGTATTTTTTTGGTCCGATGGGAGTTGAATCAAATTGGAGAAGCTAAGAAACCATTAAACTAACATCACGCAAGGTTTGGCTACAGTTCTTGCGATAAAAACATCTCTAAACAAATCCATTTTCCTCCAATGGATCATGCTCGTCATTACCATCATCGTCATTATCGCTTTCTTCATCGTCCTCTGCATCGTTGCCGTTCTCGTTCACTCGTCCATCCACGTCATCATCGTCGTCGGCATTGTCGTCGTCGTAATCATCGTCGTCTTCGTCGTCGTCGGAGTCTCGGGATCCACCCCTCTCTACTTGGTCCCTGTGGATAATAGCGCGTTCGTAAGCCATCATCACTGATTTTCTCATGGATGTTTTGCGACCCTCCTGCAACTTGTTCTCGTCTCGTTCTTCGTGCTGTCCCAACGGTTCGAGTTTGTGTCGAGGAAGCCATTGCCTGGATAAAGCAAAGGGTAAGGGTTATATTTTAAGGCAGATCAGGCGAGAACGAAATTTAACCTGCGAGTAAGAAGAAGATTTGGGCGATAAAGGTAAGATGGAAGTCAGTGACTAATTTGATCTGAGGATTTGGGAAGCTGAGTATTAGTCGGCCCTTATAAAAGTTCGAGCACGCTGAAATTCATTCACTGGGCTTGGGATTGACTAAAGCGCATGGATATTTGTGGCTACAGCGAAATAATTCTTGTAAGCACTCAATACCAGTTTGAACTGTGAACGGAACGAGTGGAAGACAGTATCTATTGTCTAGAAGAGAAAGCGACCACTCTCAGCCCAAGCAGCCACTCTTACTCCATCCAGCCTCACCTATCATGAATGATACGGCAAGCGAACTTTCGCAAAGGTACAGTTGCTTCCCCCTACTCAGCCCCAGCCAAGGGTACAGTTTGCTCTCCTCTAGGATTCTTCTAAAATTTTGGTCGACAATCTAACAAATCACTAGAAAATATTCATTTCCTACGTACACTTACCAAGTTCGTCTTGTGTCAAAGAACAGTACAAGGTAAAGATGTTCTTCTGTAATGGCCCGCTCCTTCAAAACATCCTCAGGGGGGACAGGGATGGGGACGCCACGGTGAAGGAAACCTTTCTTCGTTCGAGGATTTATGATCTGTTAGAGAGACGGAAAAACATTGTTGAGGCTAATCTTAGATAGAGAGGTATTCGCTACGCGATCAGCCTTTCGACTCACTAACTGTCGCAAAAAAGAGCATTCCAAAAACTCACGATAGTTTTTGCTAGAATAATACAAATCGGAAATTTCCGAGTGCTTGGTTGTCGCAAACGAAGACATATTCGTCTCTTGCACTATTGAATTTCGCTTTAAAGTGAAGAACATATAGTCGCTTTGGAAGGAAACAAAAAAAGATCTACAAATGTGACCATGTTATAGCACGTTAGTTACTGGAAATTTCCACACAGTTTTCTCCGTTTTCAAATGGAAACAAATTAATTTTGTCAACGGAAGACGAGAGACGCTGCTTTAATCAGAATAAATGAGTGGGTAGTAAGTAAAGAATAGTAGGCTCACCAAGGCTGGATAAGAGGGATATCCTCGGCATTTTGCCCAAACCAAATCTAATGGCTGTAAGGGAGGAAGGTCGGCCATCTCTGAATCAGAGGTGGTTGTTTTCCGAGGCCTTGGTGCCGATTTCTTCTTCCTCTTTCCATCCACTGGTCCATTCATCACTCGATTTTCAGCCGAACTGTTTTCCGTGTCCGTCGTGCTAAGTTCGTCTTCGGACAGCGCCGATAGTTTCCGACAGAGTTCTCGGGACGCACGAGTGCCGTTCATTCGGATATCACTGATGTCTGATTCTGAACCGCTGGTGTACGAGCGATACGTACGCTGCCGTAAACCATTCGTGTACGCGAAGTGATTGTTGACTCTGTCAGACGAGTGTGAATCGAACATAGGAAGCATCGTCGCATCTTCGATCAACTTGCCCAGCTCGGTTTTGTAAGTCTTCTTCGGGACATAACACGTATCATTGGTGCCTAAGCTGTCATTACATGGCCGCTTCTGTGCTTTCTTGTCCTCTTTTGGCGCTGGCTGATGCCTCTCCTCGAACACCACATCATCGTCTCCAGCTTCGTCCGTGTGTAGATTTTCTGTGACCTGACACTCGGTGCTGACTGGATCAAATGTTCTCTCACTCTCCGGTGTTTTCAACACATGGTTTGCAGTTGGTAGGATGTCAAACGGGAACTTATCCGCGCCTGCTGACAGGTTCCGCCTAGCTCGGTGCCTTCCTTTATTGAACAGGATACCGCTTCGTCGGCTGGTTCCAGGACTGGGGTTCGCTGTAGCCCTGCTGTTCAACAGGCTCTCCCCTGTTAACCGATTGTCTTCAGTGTCCAAGCTCTTGGTCGGAAGTGGCTCGCCATTCAGTGCTTCGTTCTCATCAATGGGCTTGAACTTCTTCAGCGGGTGCTCGCCATCCAGTGGTGACAGACAAGGTTCACCGAGGCTAGATCCGTCCATACCACCAACTAAACAGAAAAAGAAAAGAAACATCAAAATCAGCAAAATAATTCTGTAATTTCCTCTGCAAGTCACTAACTATTAGTGCGGTTTTCACTTGAGTGTTGAAGAGCTATTGGTTCTGCATTACTACACTACACGATTGGCTTCAGAAAACTCGCGCCACTTTTCATCCAATCAGAAGTAAAGCCAAAACCAATCGTAACTCGTTGGCACACGTTTTCCCGCGCTTCGCGTCAGCTACACGGTCAAGTTTTGATTGGTTAATTGCATTACTACGTTACTTGATTGGCTTAAAAAGCTCGCGCCACTCTTTCATTCAAAAAGAAGTAAACCCAAAACCAATCGTGACTCGTTCACACTCGTTTTTCCGCGCTTTCCGTCAGCTACATGTAAGTTTTGATTGGTTCCCTGGGTTGTCTGTGTCCTTTGTGATTGGCTAGAGTGGTTACGTGGAATAACGAGCTAAAAGGATGCACACATACCACTCGATTCTGAGAGTTGTCTCTTTTCCTGGTTCAGTTTTCTTCTGACAAGTGCGATCTCTTTACGCAGCATTCTAACTCGTGTCGCTCTCACGCCTGATGAAAGAAAAAAAAAAACTCCTATCAATTTTGGAGACTCACAACGCTTTATATGTGCGATTTGCTGGCTAGTTATAACTCACCTCCATGTTTTATAGCCTGGGTCATGTCCAGTTTTTCCTGTAGATCTTTCAATTGTTCTTCTAGTGTCATGTCTCTTCTTTGTTCGTCTGTCAGGATAAAATCTAAGAGAAAACAAATGCATCCACTGTAAGCAATATTTCATTTTTTTTTCGGTCCTACAAGATGCCTCGACAAGAATAAGTAACAAAATATCACTAAGTGTTGTATGTCTTTAGTGGTCGATGTTCTTAGTTACACCTAAAACTAGTTATAGGCATGCAACTTAAACTGAAAAAAACAAATATTTCCAATAAACATAAAGTAAAGTAAAAAAACAGTCTGCATACAGGCCAAGAAGCATATCAGGCTTGCCGTCATCTCCAGTTTCAGTGGCATGAAGTGAAAAGGAGTACATGTACTTCTACTCCCCCCTGGATGGGATGCCAGACTAACACAGGATTACCCTTCAACATTAAATTCCAATTTGTACGCATAAGTGGAGAGAGGCACTGAGAGTAAAGTGCCTTGCCCAAGAAAATAACACAAGGCAATGATCCCAGCAAGGGCTCGAACCCAGACCATTTGATCTGGAGTTGAGCGCATTAACCGCAAATCAACATAACAGGCTTAAAATCCCAAAAGACAAGAGGCAGACCAGTTAGCTATTTACAAACATGACCAGGGAGTTGAACTAGAGTCTACCAAGAAACAACTCTAGCTTGGTGGTCAGAGTGGGACTTGCACCCCCACCCTTGGGATTTCAAGTCTGCCAACCTCACCTGCCTCAAGCAAACACTCTCACTTTTCAATATAGCAATATTGCATCATTACAAATAGAACCAAAATTGTTGTGGGGAGCTCACCTTCCTCAGTTGGCTCCCTGTCGGCAAGTGTAGGAGGTTCCTCAGTGTGTAGCCCAGTGACTGGGTCAATACCAGCACGTTCCACCTGCCGCCTGGCTGCACGCACAATGGGACGTCCCTGGTCTCGCAGTTTGAGTGCTGCCCGGTAGTAGATGGTGTCTGGTGCATTGTACCTCAGACAGTTGCTAATGATCAGGTTGAAATCATGCTCAAACTGCTCCATAGCTGTGTAGTGATTGTCTTCAATGCGCCTCGATATCGTTGAGAAATCCATGGGTTCATCAATAACATCAAGATAGTCAGTAACCTAGGCATAACAAAAAAAATTGGTTTGAGCCATCACTATATTTCCCACATGATTGTTTTACACCACTGAATGTTCACCAAACCAGGCTCTGGATGAGAGAACCATAAGTTAACATAGACATTGGATGCCTAAGACATCCCAGAGCTTCCACTTTTAGCAGCTAACTCCTACATGTAAAACAGAGACCACTTGAATGGCTGGTACTGTAGATCCTAGCCAGCAAGCAATGAGCCCCTACATGAAAAAAACAGTGGAAAGAGGAGGAAGGAAAAGAGGGTACAACTCATGAGAAGAGCAAAATAATAATTGAGATAAAATATTGAGTCAACTCAATTTAGGAACCTTTGACTGAAGCCAAACTCAAAATACAAATTCTCCCAGCTGTTGCCTTACAAACCTTTCATGCCAATTTTGAGAATTTGTAAGTCCATCAAGAGGATTGATAATCTTATTATTACAAAAAGAATCACACGCTGACCATTGCTCCTTTTTGCCTACCTCATCAGTATCAACAGGTTCAGCAAAGATCTCGCCAGGGTCTTTGGTCTGCAGAAGATCAAGGGTTTTCCTGAGAACAATGTTGAGTGGCTGCAGCTGCAGGTCCACAACATGTTGTTTCACCTTCACCTGATTGGTCAGGAGGAAACAAAATGCAAAGTAGAAATTAATATCTTGCTCAAAGAAATGAAGGTGAAGGAACAGCTGGCGATGATCAATGGAGGGAGGAGAAGAGAGAGGCAGGCTTCAACTGGCAACAGTTAGAGAGACAGTCACAAGACAGAGAGGGATGGAGAGACTCCCTTAAGGACCTATACCCTCCACAGGGTGAAAGGTTTAAGTCAAGTAAGTCAGTCAAAAAAATGAAAACATTGTTACAATGTTTTCATTTCTTTGACTGACTTACTTGACTTATTAACAGATGAAAGTACATGGACAAATTTGTTCTATCCCCTTGGCCCTTGTGTTCTTTCCAAAAGTGCCCTAAAGCTTATTCTGGTACCATGTTTCTTTTTTCTTTTCAATAACTTATGAACCAGAAATAGGCAATTCAAGCTAGAGCAACCAGCTCAATTTAGTAGAGATACTTACCTGTTCTCGTTTAAGCTTCTCTCTCTTTCTGATCAGTTCCACCAACAGACGAGCCCTCTCCAGATCATGCCGCAGACGTTGCCAGAAATGCAGCTGCTCCTTCATTGCCTTGATCCTCAGCGATCTCTCACTTGACTAGGAAACAAATGTTATGAATATTTACCACTGGTTTAAAGAAATGTGGGTCAGGTTTAAGGAGCTAATGTTGGGGAGGGAGAGTTGCATGACGACCCCAAAGGAGACTACACAAAGTCCTGCTTTTGACCAAAATCAATCTTCTCACAAGATAAATTACAGAGTCTGTATGATCAACATTATGGAGAATTTGCCTCACCTCATCAGCACCAGCTTTTTGGCTCTGGTGGCTGGCCTGAAGTCTTCTCAACAATGGAACTCCATTTCTCGACTGTCGCTTTAGCATCCAGTAACTCTGAAGGCTCTGAATAAACTGAGCTTTGCGTCCTATTGCTACACGACCCACAATCTTACTCAGCCTGTAAACCAAAACAAGGAAACCAGTGAATTAACTATTATCCATTTAGGTGCATGAAGGATCGAGGATTAAGATTCTCTTTAAAACAAAAAGAAACGATAAAAAAAAAAGTAATAAAATAAAATAAAAAAATCAGTGCCAAAGCAATGTGACAAAATATAGTACTGCAAAAAATTTTAGTTAATATTTCGCAGCAGGACATGTCACCTGTCAAATCTAGTCGGACATCGATAAGCAATTTATGTAATTTGCAAATCCAAATAATCTCATGACTAAAATAATCAAAGCCAGACATGTACAACAGGGTAGGATTGTTCAAAAGCCAGTTTACACTGATCCAGGATTAAAAGTTAACCAAAGCATTAATTTTTCTTGTATAAAAATTGTTTTCTTTAACTCATCTTGTTTTCCTTTTGTACAGCAAATATTACTCTTTTCTTTAGTTTGAGATTGTTCAAACTCAAAACTGAAGCACAAACAATATAAACAGAAAACCACACCAGAAAGTTACTAAACTGAAATCAAAATTCTGTTTAATCCTGGGTTAGTTTAATCGGGCTTTGAACAACCTGGTGCAGAATAACAAATGCTTTACAATGCTTTATGGGGTGATTTGTATTTCACATTTTCTTGAAGTCTGGAGAGGGAAAAAAACCATGGAGCTCTATGATTTCTCATTGCTAGCATGGTCAGCAAATAGGATCTTCACTATGAAATCCCAAGTCACTTTGGTGCTTGCTCATGTTATCTGATCATACTGTACTGTAGTAAGTTTGACAATTTTCAGAATTTGATCAGTCAATGTCCCATAACCAAGGGTTATTTCCAGCACTGAAGTATCTTTCTTTTTCTCCTAGTGATTTCTATTGTTACTAACTCTGAAAATGTATTTAAATTCCTTACTGTGGCAGGTAGGGCAGGAAAAAAAAAATTGACACCAGTTGCCCAGTGGGCCAGTACATTTCAGTTTTCAGTTGCCCAAGGATCAGAAATTGCACATTTTTCCGCAAAAAATCCTCAAAAATGCATTTTCAAAATTTTTATGCGACGCAAGACCCTACTTGAAGAACTTATTACATTAGCCTTGACAAGTCAGTTAGATTCTGTTGTTTGAGAAACGAAGAAAAAGTTGAACAGATTGCGATTGCAAAATTCAGAAAATTGTAATTGCCACATTTGATTTGGCAGAGTTGGAGACTGGTGACAATTGTATGTCTGACACTTGCATAAGCGTCCGTCAATTTGAGTTGCTTTCTCACTCGAAGAAACATGTGTTGTGTGTGTTGTGTATTCATATGAATAGGTATATTTTTAGGCTGATATAATGGCAACAGGTGGTAAACATGGCAAATTTTTGGATAAATGGCTGAAGAAATTTCATTAGCTGTAGAACAGAGATACTGGAGACCTTTTATTAATTATGATTTGTAAGGATTGTTTAAAAGCTGGAAAGAAGAATGCATTCACGAGTGAATGCCAAATTACTATTGATCCCCGACGTCCTTTGAAATGGCTTTTTTTCAGGCCGTTTCACGCACTGTTGGTTTCATTCACGTGATTAAAAAAAGTGATCACATGATGATAAACGTATCTTGGCGTGGATGGCCAAAGTTTGCAGCACAGAGTTTGCAAATTCCACAAAAGTTCTAAGTTTGAGGCAAATCTTATCCATACCATGGATTTTGCATCCGTTGAACTCTTTTCTGTAACATATCTTGGATTGCATCTTGTTAGAAGATGCAAAACTCAACAGACTTGCAAACAAACTGTGGTGCAACTTCCCTGACGGCAGAGATTCACTCATCACACGATCATGAATTGGTCATCACATGATCACTTTTTTTGGATGATGTAAATGAAACCAACGGTGCGTGAAACGACCGGAAAAAAAAAGCCATTTCAAAGGACGCCTCGGATCAATGGTATTGGGGCTCACAAAAATGCTAAGGACCCTTATTTGGCCAGATATTTGGGTCCCAGGATCCAGACTGAAAAATCCTAGCGCCAACTCTATTTGCACCCACTAAAATATTACTTGCCCAATATGCGCATAAAGAATGCGAGCAAAGTATGTTTCGATTTAAAATTAATTGACGCTTTCAACTCATTGTTTTACTCATCTTGCAGTCATAAGTTTTGAAATTGTTTTTGATTGGAAATTATCACCAACAAAACTACCGAGGCTAATTTCACTTGCCCTATGGACCACTAACCTTCCATTTTCACTTGTCTAAGAGCAAAATTTACTTGCCCCGCGCAGTCAGACCTGGGTTTTTTCCTGCACTGGCAGGGCATTCAACAATTTTGACAGTTAAATAAATGCCAACATTATTGAGGGAAAGGAAAATTTCTGCAGTGTCTCATTCTCATGTACTGACAAGGAAAACTCATTGTCACAAGCAAAAACTCGATCCGACCAATTTTTTGGATAGGGGGAAAGAAAAATGCACAGAGAATTGATAAAATGCCAGTCAATTTCAAACTTAATTGCGTCAGGGTTAGATGTTCAATTAGCTCGGTTACCGCTATTGCTCAGTTCTTGCTATTTTTTCAGTTAGAAACAACAGCAATCTATTTTCCCGACTGTAATTTGTCAACTCCAAATGGCCAAAAGTATAGCAAATATATTGATGAAAGAAAAACAGGTGTAAATGAATTTTAATGTTTTATAGTACATGTGAGGAACCTGTTCCCTTGAGGAAATGTCAATAAAAAAATGTCAAACTCAGCTGGAGATGCTGGTGGAAAATCTTGAAAAACACCGACATCCATTTGGTAATAATTAACCTGTCTAATAATGTCTAGGTTATTGATGAATTATTAAGTTTTGTTTGTCAGATTCTAAATTAAATTCTTCCACAATTTCTTTAGTTGATAATAACAACACAGAAAAGACAAAATGAATCTTGAATAAAAAGAAATAAAATAAATTTAATGCTGGTTTTTGAAATCATCTGGTTATCTACAAAACCCAGGATAACCTTATTACCAAACTTATTAGTTTTCAAATTGCTCAGAGCTTCTCCATATTTTTTTAATTTTACTATTTATATTCTAGAACAATACCCAGACATGTTAACTTGTTTTGCAGCTTGATAAATATCCAACCTTTTTTGCTTGCACTTCAAGAAACAATGTTCAAATTGTAATTGGTTTTCAAAACAAGGCCAGAACAAAACTATATGCTTTTGACAGTTGCTAGGAGACAGTGCTATAAAAACAGCATTCTTAACAGTGTGTAGTGATAAGAGCAAAAGAAAGCTAATCTTGGATACAAATAGTACTTAAATGTTTTCATACAACTAACAAAGAAACTTACCGATGAGCAGGGATAAATGGAATGTTAACAATTGGAACTGCAGTTGTTTTCTTCTCTGCCAAAAGTTTCCGAAACTTCTTGATACTACGTTTGGACTTGGTAGATTTTGCAGACTTACTGCTTGCTTTTGCTGGAGTCTTGCTTGTTGTTTTACTCGGAGTCTTGCTCTTAGAAACATTAGTTTTTTCCTTAACTTCTTCTTCGCTGTTTTCTTCCTCTTTACCTGCTTCCGAGTCAGACGGTGTGTGAACATCACAAAAAGCAGTCTTACGCACAGTCATCTGTCCATTTTCACCTTTTACAGGTTCAATCTTCATGTACAAGCCTGCTTGCTGTGCACAAGTGACATGAAATGCCGTATAACAGTTCGTCTTGAAACACTGGATGCATGCGCCATGCCTACGCTTACAGATGTAGCAAGTGAGTTTCCACCTTGCTTGAGGAATGTTTTCAATGGAGTCAATAGGTTCCAGAAATACTGTGTTTGCAAAGCACACCTCTGGAATCCACAATGCACACACAACATGCCCCCACTTGCCAGTATCTGTCTGTTTAAAAGCACCAGTTTTGTTTGGACACAGGACACAGTCCACTGCTCTGGACGGTGACTGAAGACATCGACGACAAAGCCACTGTCCCTCGGGAATGTATGGTACACCATAACACTCTTGATGGACAGCCAGATTACACATGTCACAAAACAAGATTGCGTTACTATTTTGACACTCGCCGTCGTTACAAATACAACAAACTGCATCTTCATCGATGTACTGGTTTGGGTCGCAGTTCGTTTGGCTCTCAAAGTAAGACTCTTTCTCCAGTCTGTCCATCAGAGTTTCGAACACTTCTTGAGAAACCGGCGCAATTCCTTCGCTCTTTCGCTTATCATTTATAGTATCTAACCAAATATAATCCTCCTCGTCCATGTCGTATTCTACCATTTCGTCCAATTCTTCAGTGGTTTGCTCGATAAATCGAAAGTAAGTGGTCGACCTAACCGGTGCATCGGGCTGCCGAAAACCCGATTCCAACTTCTCGCTGTACTCCGCTAGCGGCAAGCTCGCTTTGTTGTTGTTTTCGCCGGATTGTTCATTCTTCGATTTTGTATCAGTTAGCGGCTTGATCATCATCGTCTCAAAAGTTTCCACTGGTTTTTCTGGCTCCGGCGTGGAAATTTCTTCGCTGTCCAGAACATCTAATTGATCATTTATATGGATTCTATGAGGAAAACCTTCTATTTCCACTTCAACAATTTTCTGCGCTTGAGCATAAGTTAGCGTCTCTCTGGGAACACTCACCGTTGGCGGAGATGGCGGTGGTTTCTTATTTTTAACGCTCTTTCTTCCTCGGCCTTTTCCTTTTTTCGAAGATGTTGGCGTTGCTCCCACAACTTCCATGCCATCGTGTTTAAAAACACGCAAATGATATTCTATTCCACTGTAACTCTTGTATATCTTCTGACACAAAGGACATTCATACGGCGGCTTGGTCGCCCGAAGATTGTCGATCAGTTCTCTAATGTTCACCATGGTTCGTTCAAAACATTAAAACATAGTTCGCTAAGAGACAAATCTTAACACGACGTTTTCGTGAATATGAATAATTCTTTCGTGAATGACGTTTTCGTGGTATGCTTTCCCTATAAAGAAAGCCGGCGCGTCACGATCAATCGAAAGTTCTCAAACTGAAGTCTTCTAATTTCCCTTGCACAATTTCGATTTTCCGTCTTGAGATTCGCTTATTTTCACTCACGAACGGAGGACGCCTCTTTTTACGTAAAGCGAAGCTACAAATCTTGAAATCCAGTGAACTACGAAGCAATCTGACCACACCAAGGTAGTTCGTTAAAATGGCGACAACGAACACGACAGCGTTGGGCGACTATGCTGTGCCGTAATGTCACTGAAACTAAAACGAAACACTCCCCTCTTGACGAAAATGTCCTTGTTTGAGTTCTCTGACACTTTCCTCCGAGATTTATTTCGGAACTCCTTTCGTTTTCAACTCAATTGTTTTCATACCAACGCGGCACAGGCACGAACTAAATCCGGTTTCGCGAACAATGGCCAACCAATAATGGCGTACCGGATAACTTGAGATGTTGAATTTCTCAAAGTTCACTCCACGCAAAACCACTTAAGGCTAGTCTGGAACCCTCCTTTCGAAACGCAAACAGAATCGCTTGGTATTCCTCTAAACAATTCGTAGGTAGCGGATCCTCTACACCCTCAGCTGAGCTGTTTCTCGTCCGTTGAAGGGACTCGCCTTCGAAATAAACGCTTTCACTTCACCGCGAGCGATGTGCAAACAAAGGAGGGCATTGAAAGCATAAAATCGTGATGTTCCACGCCGACTATCAGCGAAAGCTCATCTTGACGGCTAAATGAGGTCTTTTTCTATAACTTCTGCTTTTCGAAGATTTGCGTAAACTAACAACGAAGCCGAAAACGAGATCCGACTTTGGGGAGGTTAAATTCGCTACGAAGAAGATGGCGCCAGTTACTCTCGTGGACAAGCTTCGCCCCTGACTATTTCGCGCCACGCAGGGACGCCCCCGCAGATTGTGTAACATTTAATTTTGGCAGCGAAAAACACATGCGATCTTGTTCTTCGCATATGCCACCCTCAGATCTTGAAAAACGTCGTTTAATTTTGATCAAAAGAAAATAGGAAACACCAGAAAATAAGAATAACAAATGCCTTGTAATCAAAGAAAGTTCTGCCTGGTTACCGCCGCAAATTAGCATGATATTTACCGCTATGTAGGTTGAGGAGTCTTGTTAGAATCCGTCCATTCATGCTCCCTCCATGTGACTGTAGAATGAACGATGTTTGTTGCATTACAGCGAAAGTGAAAAAGAAAGTAATGAATAAGAAATTGCATGGGTCGAGGATTAAAAAACAAGTTAGCTTCTTAAAACGGCGATCAACCGTTAAAATCTTTGAAAATTGAACTATTTTCACAGCCGAAAATTCAATCAAAAATGTCTCGCGCGAAAAACCATCGGGAAAAAAATGATTGATCAGCCAGTTAACACGAGATCTCCTGTTGGGTGTTTTTCGTCCCCGAAGACTTCAATCATTTCACCTTTCGAAATTGTGACTAAACTTGAGCCAAAACGGAAAGGCAGCCACATCTTGAGGCGATGTTTAAGCGATAATTTGACGTCGGAGCATTGACGACCGAATGAAAAGATCGAGGAAGTAACCTCGTGTACAATGTGTCCGTACAGTTTCTGGTTGCACGATTCTCTGTGTTAGCTAAGAACGAAAATAAACTGCCTTCAGCTACATTCTGCCATATGAGACTGGGAAATTATCACTCTTCAAAGTTCCAGGCGCCGGTTTAGTTCAAAGTAGTATACCATGATGTTGATGTGGAAAAACACGTCACAAGATTGCCGAGCGGTCCCCGCACCACTCCGTGCATGCAAGGCCAGACAACACAGGAAACTGAAGAAATGAAAATCGAGTAGGAGTCAGTTTTTTACCATGACGGATGTTTTTGAACTCCAAAAATGCGCGAGTGCCTACTTCATATGCAGGCTGTGTTTCGTAGTCTTCCGAGAGTCCAGCCATGTGATGTGTGTATTTATAGATTGTAGCGGTGACTTTCGAAGGCGCTGAGCATTTCTTCATCTAGTTGACGACAGTCATGACAAGTGGTTTGAATTTCCTTTGCGTGACGTGCGAGATCACAGTTCACGATCGCTGAACAAGTTAAATAAAGTAACTACTGGATGAAAATTCAAAACAAACAAATCTAAAACACTTATTTGCTGAAGTTTATTCTTGTAGCCTTGTGACGCAGGTGGGGCTCGCTCCTTTACATAGGGGATTCCCCCAAGAAGCCTAATTCAAGAAAAAAAAAAAAAAAACGTTACAAGCAATATGGAGTTCTTTTTTGACTGACGGGAAACTCGTGCGCGAATATTGGGAAGTACTTAAGTACAATGGAAATAAACTTCTAAATTACGTATGTCCTGAAAAGACGACAAAACAGTCACTTCAACATTTGAGAAGAGTCAAATTGTTATTCACGAACTCATGTGTCAACGCATTGAACCGCAGTTTTCAGCGGTGTTGTTGCTCAGCAACATGACGTCAGCTTCAAGCTGGCCCATGAGGCTTTGTTCACTGATGACTTGCCGACTGTGTGCCACATAACGGTAGATTTTCTATATATGATATTCTTAATTCTCATCAGCCGTATCCTTAACACCCATTGATAATGTAAGGAGAAATTACTGGTTGATAACTCCGAATACCGTACAGAAAATGACCCTTGAAAAATTATGATTTGGGTTTCCAGGAAACAGCGCGTCGGATTTTTTCCTCCTTTGAAATAGTACATTTTACAGTGCTTACTTCCTATTAAAGTTGCGACCAAGATTGTGGAAGTTCATTCGGAGTTTACAAACTCCGACGCATTAACCTACGCGGCCAACATAGGTTTCGTTCTCTAGAAAGCGATGCTAGCAAGGAAAGTCGTAAACGATTTTTCTTTGGACCAAATTAAACAGTCACTTGAGTATAACATTGCTTTGATTTCTGCACTACCATGCTCAGAACTAACATCGAAAGAAATGTATAGGATCAGTAAGGAGAATTTTATAGTTCAAGTCTGGGAAAGAACGAGAGGGTATAAGTAGGCAGTTCACATTTTGAATCCTTCAGCCCAGCAGTAATAATAATAATTTATTTTACTATTATTATTTTATGAGAAAATTGCGAAAGAACGAGAATAGACTATATCGATCAAGCAGTTTATTCGAAACTGTGTTGTTTACACTTACATTACATTGCAAGCTAAAGAGATTTTCATAATAACTTTCACTGATTTTCTCTCTCTTTTTGAGACACAATGGGACCACGAGAAAAAATTGAACACGCCGTTTTTCCAACACGGACATTTTGAGAGACGACTCTGTGAAAAACAAGAAGATTTCCGAAGAATTAGAGGTTTTTGCTTACCTCGGGAAGGTTTCTTTGGTTATTATGGCAGGAAAACATCGGCTCATTTTCGGAAATCTTCGGAGAACAACGAAATTTGCCCTAGACTTTCGGAAATCTTCGGAATATTTCGGGAAAAGTTGTCAGAGGCGTGTAAAATCTTTTTACTAATTCAGCTTGACAGGTCCCGGTGCTCAAAAAACGTTTTTTTTTTTTATCCCACGGCAGACAACACGACTTCGCTGACCACGGCGTTATCACTGCGCACAGTGATGTTCATGGTGACTCCCTGATCGAATGCCAGCCGGGCTCGGACCAGGACATCGTGTCCCCCACGGAACACCCCCGCTAATAACAGGGCATGGGAATTCTTCTCCGTGTTCACTTTGTCGGATCGCTCACACGGCTGCATGCCGAGGTACTCGATAATTTGCTTGACAGCCTCTGTTAATGAAAGATAAAAAGACAAATATCAACAAATTAAATTTCTATACAGGGAGGGCCGAGGGGTGTGTTTATCTAGCGCAAAGCTTCAAACGAGGAGACATGGGACTGTGGAGGGTGGGGAGGCCGGGCGGGGGGGGGGGGTAAGATTAATGCCGCTAGGCTCTTTGTTTCATGCTTTGAGACGAAACACTCAATATACCCCAACATCCTGGGTCGGGTTGCTCAAAGCCCGATTAAGCTAACCCAGGATTAGCGAGAATTTTAGTTTTAGTTGCCTACCTTTTCGGTGAGTGTTTATCCTTCAGTTTTGAATTTGAGTAATCTCAAACTACACAAACATAAGCTATAAAAACATTTTTATTCCCTAAAAATTTATACATGGGTTAACTTTTAATCTTGGGTTAGCGTTAACCACCTTTCGAACAGCCCGTTCCTGCGGTGTATAAATGTGGACATCTAGGAACTATCAAGGAGATTAGACTAAAAATTGAGAGCAGAGGGACTTGGGACGGACCAGCATTCCATCCAGTGGAACTAGAAGAGGGGCGCAATACCCCTGGTCACATCATTGAAAAATTTGCGTGACTGTCACCGAGTAATGCAACACCCTTACCTTCGAGGCTGTTCATCTGTGTAAGTGCGTACGTGTCCTGCATCTCACACTCGTCACCAATCTCATCCCACGATGCCAGGAAGTTCGTCTTGTGAACACGCTGCACGTGATCAGCGACAAGAACGTCTATGTCTTCAAGCTGGGGGGTAGGGTGAGATAAACATTGTTAACATTGACATGTAAAGCAATAGGCCATTTTACAATGACGGCAGAAATTCTCGAGCGCTCATTGGCTAAATTCCTTGTCAATAGGCGGACAGACACGTGAATTTATAATTTATGCGATGCGTCAACGAGCGAGAACGGGTATTTTGACAATTTGTTATTGTAAAAAATAAATTGACGTCAGTTTTTCATGCGCCTGTCCTGTTATTGACAATGAATTTCGTCAAAACATTGTCAAAGTAGTCTGCGGATCCACTCGGCTATCGCTTCGTGGATCCACAGCTACTTTGATAATGTTATGACGAAATTCGTGATCAATAACAACACGGACGCATGAAAAACTGACGTCATTTTGGACCTCTCTGCTTTTCCCATTTAAATGCAAACTTGTTAGCATAAGGACAACTTGATTTACACAACAAAAGCAGTGAGGTCTTTATCAAAACAAGGCCACCTGCAGCCTCGCTGCCATTCAAAGGCCAGGTCACTGAACAGACAACTTTAAAATGATCTATTGGTAGGAAAATATGACAGCCTGTTTCGAAAGGTTAACTCTCGTCAATAAATACATGGTCTGCACTCTACCATTCCGCCAAAAAATCTGGATACTTCGCATGGAAAACAAGTGACTCATTTACACGTAACCTTTTCTTTACTAATTTAAATACCGTTATAAAAGGAATGAAAGATCAAACAGAAGGCAAACACATACCACATATTCATCCTCGTATCCCTCTTCATCTGGTTCGCCTGTGCTTGGGTCGCAGTCTTTCACCACAAACTTAAGCGTGTTCGTAAACGTGCAAGTAACTGAACAAAGAAACAAAGAAGTTATGGGAAAAACAATAGCTGCCACCACACTCACGCGTGACACGCGCTCCCACGCACGCACGCAAGCAGCCAAAGCTCGAAATATAAATTTTCCAAAATTATTTTCATACATTTTTAATAATCTTAGCTCTGAGAATTTGGTTTTACATCACGACACTGTCTCCTTGAGATCATTTCCTATATTCTCATTACCTGTCTGTCTGACAATGTATGGAAATTGTGAGGAGAAATGAGTTCTTGAACAGTTGTCACAAACCTGATGAAGCGTCTTCAGGGAGTTTGATCAGCGTGTAAGTGGTGCCCGGTGTGTTGTAAGGAAGCGAAGGGCGTGGTATGTAAGACACGACTTCAAAATCGGAATCCGAAGGTTCCATCTCCACCTTGACCTCTTCTAGGATCTGATCATTCAATGTGTTTGTACAGTCGAACTGAAACGAAAATCAAACAAGTGCAAGTTAATAACAGGATGGGAATTCCACTAGTTTGTGAATTACAGGAAACCCACGTTTCCCACTCAACTAAGCCTGCTTAGCAGGCGTTCCCGTACTTTGATTTTTTTGCTCTCCCTCCAATTTGCGCGCGGCAAGAATGCGGAAATACCTCTCCGTACGGGAACTTTTACTACGCTTTCTACGCAGGCTACACTTAACAGACACGTCCTGACCCCGTTTTGCACCGACGATGCGCTATCGCTGAAACGCCAGCTTTCCAAATTCACCACGACAATTAACTTAGCTTTATCAGTAAAGAAAACAAAAAACCTGCAACACCAAGGACACACACCAAAAAATACAAATTGGGATTTGATTTTCGTGAACAAGCGTGGTGCCTTCCATAAACCAAGTTTTAGAACTTCAAACGAAATTTCCTTAATAGACCTTTTAACTCGGGCGGTTTGTTGCCCCATTTCAGACCACATGATGATACTCTTGAGAATTCTTGCTTTCAAAGTTTCAAATAGTGGCGTGTAGATACATAAATAATTTTTAGATGGAGAAAAGAACAATTCTTTAGAGAATATCACGTGGTCTGTAATGGAATGCAACCCACCCAAGCTTAAAAGGTCTATTTTTGGAAAACATACTCAAAAATGTAATCAGTTCTGAGCGATAATTTTTTTTTTTTTTTTTTTTTTTTTGTCAGGAACCAGGAAGACAATCTATTCACTGCCAACTTACCTGAAAGACAATGTGATCATTAAACACGTGTTTGACACAGTTCACCACATATTCTGTCTCAGACTCAGTCAGTTCTACTGGTTTTGGCGAGGACCTGAACAGTGGACCAAGCTTTGAGAACTGAGGAATGGCTGCCAGTTGTTCTGAAGAGACACGAAGAATTAACTATCATTATTCTCGACTTCAGAACCAGTGAAACACTAAGTTGGTACTTAACTCCACTTTCTTGAAGATGGAGCGAAAAGGGGCATTGTAAATCCTCATGAAAGGCATGGGAGTTCCTTGGCCTTAACACAATCAGCAGGTTGCCTAGGCTAGTCTCCTTGGCAGACGCTGTTTGGGCTCTTCACGCAATTTTCTCGTCACGTTCGTGGGAGAGGAAGATTGCGTGACGAGCCTAAAGAGTGTTCAGGTTGCCGGGCATATTTACGACTCTTTGCTTTCGCTGCGGGTCAATTCCACGAGCAAGCTTGAGATTTTTGATCGAAAAATTTGTGAGTCTTCTTTGGGAATTTTTGGAGGACTTTAGAAAAATTCGGAAATTCATTGAAAATGTTCGAGTTTCTATGAGTAACGGCACAACGAAAATAGTGGCACTTACCAGCATACACATCCTGTCTGGTGGCTGCCACGGGTGCTGAAGGCTTGGTTGGTGCAGAAGGCGTCTCGATGACTAAAATAAACAGGAAACAAATGTCTCGAGACTCCGTTTGCTATATACAAACTTCAAAATTGTAGTTACCAAAGGTAGAAAACACTGATCAACATAGAGCGAACTTAGAAATAGTTAGATTACCGTTCTGCTCGATAAAAACAAGAATGTGGCAGAAGTGGACAAACCTGTTTTTCCAGGTTTCACGACCTGGTCCTGCATTGGCGTGGTTGCCAAGGGAACAGTCTTCAGATCAAATGGAGCAGTGTGAGATGAATCCTTGACATAAGCGTACAGAGCTCGCTCCAGACCCACAATGGACACTTGAAGACCTGGGGAATGCGAAACATGAGTTCAAAGAGAATGAGTAAATTATATTTCAAGAAGAGGAAATTTGACCAGTTCACTCAACCAGTACACTGACTTCACTGATTTTACTTTCTACAAGTCGTGTCAAACTACTTGGAAAGTTTCTATACGTTTTTGCAGATTTCCAGAGTATCCAAACATCTGTGTTCGTGTAGCGTTAAGTCGAATTACAGCGGTTTTCATTTGAGTGTCGAAACCTGACTGGTTTTGTATCATTACGCTACACGATTGGCTTGAAAAAGCTCGCGCCACTTTCTCATCCAAACAGAAGTCAAACCAAAACCAATAGCGACTCGCTCGCACGCGTTTTTCCGCGCTTTGCGTCAGCTACATGTGATTACTTCGAGTTTTGATTGGTTCACTGAATTGTGTGTGTCCTTTGTGATTGACTAGAGTGATTACTTTAGCTTTTTGGTTTTGGTTTTTACAACACTCAATAACAGTTGAAAACCGCTCTTAACTAATTATTGTTGCATTCAGTTATCAGTACCTACCATTTAAAATGTAGCCCGATGACAATGCCTTCTCTTTCTCCTTCAAGATGTTCACATAGAAAGTCGCCCTGTCTCTTACTTCGTCATCCGTATCCAGCAAGCACCTAAATAACAATAACACATCACAAGAAGTTTTTTACAACTGGAATCTATGCTCTTGAACCCGCGGTCTTTTTGGTACAGACGTTGCCAAACAACATGACATCACCAAATGTTGTCATGCTGACGTCACAACTTTGGGAGTGCTCGTGAATTCTCGTGATAGCTTTTGTTAGGATAAGAAAAATCGGAAACATTTCGAGCGGTTCTACGACCGTTGGCCGAATACGGGGTTGAAGAGGTTCCAAGGGTTATGAAAGTCGCGAGTTGGACTCTGTCTTCTGATAACTAATTAGTTCAAGACTCGATATCTTTATTCGTAACAGACAAACCTAGAGAGCAGAACAAGGATGCTTGAACACAGGCTGTCACAGTGAGCTCCAAACTTGGCAAGAGAAGTCACGGCAGCTGTGAAATAAAACAGAACCGGCATTACAGCAAATTGTTAGAACCTGCGAGAATCTGTAGTTCGTCTGGTGTGACATCCAAAACAGGTCTTCAAAGAAAACTACAGTTACGTCTCGCGTTTCTCTGGAGAATAATCATCAAAGAACAACATTCTTACCAGCTCTGACGGCAGCATTCTCCAAGATTACCCTGTTGTAGATGAACCGAATGTACTTTGAAGGATTCTGGCTGCGTGGTCCTTCACGTCCCAGAAGATGGAGAATTCTTGTGGCAAGGACAGTGTGTTCACAGTCTTCAATGAATTCACACAGATGGCCCAGTCCTGTCAGGCGAAAAAAAAAAATCCAGTCACTTTTCTCTGACTTACATAATAGCAGAGAGGAGGTGAAAGAGTACTTCTTTTTAGACAAGAGGTCGTTCAAAAAGGTACAAGGTACTTTCAAAAACGGAAAGAAGGCAGGAAGAAAACGATTTGCGGGTGAAAAGGCTCTTGAAAGTGTCAAATAGTAGCTGCTTTACTAAACGTTTCGGGTTTAACCCTTCTTCAGAAATAACTTTGTGCCGCCTGGAGACGTCATAGCGAACCAAACTGGTATGTCTACATGAATTAAGAATTAGGAACTTTCGTGATGTGATACACATGTCAAAAATGCACAAAGCAACTCTTAGAAGACTGTGCCAGAAAAGCAAAATTACCGGCTTCTTTGGCTTCTGAATTCTCTTCAATGACAGTGATGATGGTGTCCACAATGGCTTTCTTGTAATCAAATCCTCCCTGAGAAGAGCAATAACGATAAAACAAATTGAGCACCATTACCCAAGAAAAGCAAGCAGCCCACATACGACCAGAAGAAAGACTAGGTCATGTTGTACTACAACAAAAATTGGTTAAATACACTCTTTCGCTTTTATAAGAATATGTTTTGTAAGAATATCGAGAATGAAATTTGCGAAAATTTAAGAATATTTTAAGAATAAACCCGAGGCTGAGATGGAGAAAGAATTTTGTGTGTTGAAGATTTGTAAATAAATACAATTATATGTTTTAACTAAACTATATAAAATTTTTCCTTTCTCTAAACGGCAAAAGTAGCCAAAAAGCAACAAAAACAGCACTAGTTCGCCGTATGTTCGATGCTGATAACATTTCTGAGAGACGTTATGTGCATCACATCACGCTTTACTGCCAGCAGCCCGGCTCAAAATTACTTCAACACCATCCACACACCAAATACATTCGAAAACAGAAATGCCATGCACTATAATCAAAGAATATTCACAAGAACATTTTCAGGCTAAAATTGGCAGAAAAACTAAGAATATTCAGCCTCGGCTGGAAAAAAAAATTAACATATTCCTGTAAAAGAAAAAAGAGTGCAGCACAAACCTCATCTCTGAGCATGGACGACAAAAAGTTCATCATAACATGATGCTTCCTGGGAAACTTGAGGCACAAAGACCTGATTTACACAAATTAAAAAAAAACAGTAAGCAACAACAATTCTTGGATTCCATTGCATAACCAAGTGGAGCGTAGCCGGGTGGTTAGGGTGCCGGACTTGAAATCTGGAGGTCACTGGTTCAAGTCCAGCTCTGATCCCTTAGCTGGAGTTGTTCCTTGTGGTCTATTTAACAAATAGATTCCATGTTCAGGAATAGATCACAGATGAAGTTAAAATGTGGTAAGAGCAATAAAGTGGCACATGAGGCAATAGCCGAGTGTGTCGCTGATGTTCTTACCACATTTTGGCGTCTCCTGTGATCTGTTACTGAACAGACACACGGCAACATGGAATCTGCCTGTCTTGTATAATATAGAAATGTTAATGATGTCATCTATGCATCTGTTGTCCAATAGATCATAAGTACAAACCAATCAAAATGCAAGAATAATTTAACTTATTATATTCAACAATCAGATTATGAGCTTGGGATTTCTATTACTCATAAAAATCAAGAGCAAATGATCTAGCTGTTTAAGTAGAAATCTACCAGTCATCTAAAACTTTATCTAACTCCTCTTCACAGACACTTTGAAAGTGCAAAGAAGTGGCAGCAGTTTGCTAACAAGCACACACTGCTGGGCTACTCACTATCTACAACAGAACAGACAGTGAGTAGCGTAGCCAATCTGAGAACAGCATTTGTGATAGAACGCTAGTAAATTTATAATTACTGCTTGAGTTAGCAATCATAGAATTCTGTCAGTTGTTGTAAAACAATATTATGATGGTATGGGTGACATTGTGCATTGTATCAACTGACCTGATGGCATCAACGACAACAATCTTGAACTCATCTGAGATCTCAGACATGAATGATGAGATCTGTTTCATCAGACGATCAACACTGCTCTCATTGCCAGTCTGAAAAAAATCATCACCAAAAACATCAAATTACAAAAGTCAAACATGCTCAATCTCAGGATTGGACAGTCTTCATGAGCTTTGTGGCTCAGAACTGTCCCAAGCCCCTCTCCAGCGTTGCCACTAAGCACCAGCTGCCGGGGAAATTCGCCGGCTGAGAAAGAGGTGATCGCCGGCTGGATTTTGGCGGGCAATCACACAGTACAGGACAACAAACAGTCTTTAGGTTACACATGTACAATCATTCGATACCTGTACCATAT